AGGATGGAGTTGAATCGGAAGCGCTTGCCGCACACAGGGCAAGGGAAGCGGCGATCACCTGCGCGGCTCTCAGACCAGCCCACCGCTCCCATCCCGGGCGACCCCGCGCTCACACCCGGCCCGTTGGAGTAGCGCTGTAAATCCAGTTCGCCGTCGAAGGCAGGTGGTGACGGCGCTAAGTGGCCGCAGGGGACACGGGGACGTGAGCCCTGTGGAAAAAGATGGGCGTAGAGCAAAGGCTGGGGAATGGTGATCAGTGAGTTAGCAAAGGCATCAAAGGCCAGAATACCAGGGAAGAATCATTGGGTCCCGATCCAGAACAGCTGGTGCCACTCACCTCCGGAAGTTGGGGAATGGGTGGGAACAACTGGGTGTTGGGGCCAAGGAGACAGTTTACAATAGGCGGTAAGACAGAGCTGGGGGGCCGGGGATTTAGCTCAGCGGTTCGGTGTACTGCCTTGCAAGAGCAAGGACCGGAGTTCAATCCCCAGTACAAAAAAAAAAAAAAAAAAAACACGGTGGGCACGGAAGGGAGAACCGTGGTAAGTGCTCAATAGGCATTGGCAGGTTCGGGCCAGAACTTCACTCACCTCCATGGACCCCCTTCACATTCTTTGGTTCTGGGGAGTGCAGGGACGAGGAGGAAAAGCTGCTAGTGAAGGCAACAGGTGTTGAGGAGCTAAGGCAAGAGAGATTTGGAAGAAAAATGAGCTCTGATTTTCAGCAGGCGTTAAGAGTCACCCTCAGTTCCAGACTCTTAGCACCCTATATTCCTGAAACCTATTCTTCCTATTTGCATCCTGAGGCACAGGAGAGCTGCTGTCCTCAAAAATAGCCCCCCTTGATGTGCCAGGCCCAAAAGCTTCCCTGATGGTCCAAATTTCTTCCCCCTAATTATACGTTTTAAAATCCGGGCCCAGACTAGCACCACCACCTTACCACCTGGTCGGGGGCAGGGACAGTATCACAGTATACCCCTCTATCCTGTGGGTGGAGCTGTGCACCTTCATAAGTAACTGAGAAGGGCTTGCCATGCCCCCCAGCCATCCAGGTGGGACCAGTCACTCTCAGACCCTAACTGACCAACCAGCCAAACATCCTTCCAGGTTCTGAGGTCCTCGCTTCAGTCCTTACCCTTTTGGTCTTTCCCCCTCACTCTCCCGCCCTCTCTGCCTGGATTCCTGATCCATTCATTTCCATTCATTACAGAGACTCATTCATGCATGGGAGAGAAACACCTCCCAGCAGCAGAGTCTGGAGACAGACAGAGGGGGAGGGGCACGGAGGGGGAGACAGCCAGAGAAGGAAGGGAGAGAGAGTTGGGGGAGGAGTGGAAGTTAAGGGGCACGGCCAGCCTGGGGAAAGGGTTAAAAACTGCAAATACCATCTAGGGTTCTTCCCATTTCAAACCTGGGAGCCTGCGGTTTGATGGGGCATCTCAGCCCCTTTGTCCAGAGCTGTTCCGAAGCAGGCTTTCCTCCTCTCTGCAGGGGAGAGGCTTCCTCACACAAGAGGAGGATTACACTGGCTCTGAGCTCAAGAGGCTGGAGTGAGGGATGGGGGGCGGGGCCGGGCCATCTGCACAGACAGGGCTCAGCACATGCTCTGCGTAGGAAGGGGTTAAATTCTCCAGCTAAAATTCCCTAGGCCTGAGATGTGCAGAGCTCCAGGACTAGGGGAGAAGGGAGAGGATGGGGGGCGGGGTCCCAATTCTAAGCGTCGGAGGTCAGCTTTTGGACTCAGAAGCAACCCCAGAATTAAAATGAATGGAAACAGGCCTGGGAAGATGGCAGAAGTCACCCAGTCACTACCTTCCTTCCCCCATACAGCACTGTATGAGGTCAAGGCTGGATGAACGTAGGCCCAGCACCCCCACCACCACCTTGGCCTGTGATAAGATATCTGAAATATAAAGAACTTCCTCCAACAGGCAGTATGAAACCAAAACGAGTTACTAAGAAAGAAAAGGACTCAAGCATTATTTTGCTTACAGATCTTTAATAGAAGAGAACTGGGCCAGGAGTCTGCCCTCTTAGCAGAGAAAAAGCTCTGGAGATTCAAAGCTGCCTTATTTGGAACATTTAGTAAATGTGGTAAGACTCCATGAAGGGAAAAGTACCTGTTACATGAAGAATATGGGCTTAGGGAGTATTTTTAACAAGTTAATTAATGAAATGTCCTTGTCTGAGGGTCACTAGATAGCCTCCACTACTGCTAAGATATGTGTATTTCTATAGCTCCAAATTCAGGGACCCTCTCACCACCTGGATCCTCCCAGTAAACCCCCTCCCTAGAGCCAAGAGCCTGGCCATGAAAAGTGAATCAGAATAAGCCCAGTCTGACCATTAATTGCCCCACAACTTTCAGCCGATCACTTAACCTTTCAGGATACGCATCTGCAAAATAAGAGGGGTAGACTAATTTATAATATTGGTCCTTTCCAGCGCGAAAGTGTCATAGTTCTAAGTCTAAGACTTTTCTGGACCCCAGAGATGTTAAAA